CACACACACACACACACACACACACACACACACACACACACACACACACACACACACACACACACACACACACACACACACACACACACACACACACACACACACACACACACACGCACACACACACACACACACACACACACACACACACACACACACACACACACACACACACACACGAATAAGCAGTGACTCAGGGCAACTGATGCAGCAAATAAACTCAAGTGCAACAAATACATAATTGACAAACACAAACAACTGGATTTAATCGGTGGCGTCTTTACAAAGCCAGCTTTAGATGGCATGATTGCACCCAGCAGAAACACAGTGCAACAGAGTCAAATGTTTTTTTATTTACGACCCAACTGTGGTCACAGCCATTACTGTACATTTATTTTACGCAGCCAGAATTTGACTCAAGCCAGACTTTTTATAGCACATTTATATCATTCTTTCCATAATTATCAGAACAGCAAATAACGGTAAAAATGGAACAAAAAATGGAATAATACTGGACACTGGAGCAGGAATGAAAGACGGATGGCTATGGAAGTGAGTGGGCCAAATAAAACTTGCTGATTTGCAATGCAAAGTATTGCATTTGAAAGACTTTTTAGAATATTTTCTGGCGGTATTTCAATTCATGGTATTTTTAAAGAAGTCAACTTGAGGATGACATACACACCAATTTGCTCCCCTTTTAAATGTATGTATTTCATCAGAAACTTTGATAATTAATTCCGTTTGACTGCTAACATGCTTTGATTTGTGATAACAAACACGTTGATTAAAAGCAGAGAAACTCCAGACACAAACACAAACACACACACACACACATACACACATAATGTGTTTGGCCGGCACAGCTCACAGAGACAAGTGTTGATTAAAGAGAAAATTTCAATAAATACATAACTGGCTTCAGTCAAACGAGGAGGGGAGGACAGATGGAGGTGGAGAGGGAAAAAAAAGGAAAACAAGGGAAGGAGACGTGGAAGAGTCTTTCAGTGTGCATGTGTGTTGTGCACAGCTGTGATAGCGTGACAACTGCAAGGCTACTTGACTTGCGTGACTGCTGCTGCCAGAGTCTGTCGTCTCTATTTTACTGCGAGTCTATGCAGGTCTTCCCCTTGTGTGTGTGTGTGTGTGTGTTCTATGTGGCATATATCTCCCTGTGGCCTCACACTCACTACCTCACTTTCTCCTAACATTGATCTGATTGCCTTAGCGAGCAGAGTAATGCTCAGCTCCGCGCATGCACGCTCCATCCCGACCGCATGACAGACTGCGATACCTGTCTGTCTGTGAACAGAGCAATTTGTCCACGAGGTATTTGAGTCAAAGCATGACAAAGCAACGCTGTGACAGAAAAATATCTGGACTATGATATGACAATATGTGGAAAGCATATATGATGGGGGGGAGGGAAGCAGAGTGGGAGGATGACTCAGGGTCTTGGTGGTGTAGATGCAGATGTTGTTTGACAAGTTCAACTGGCACATGCTCATAACATCCGAGGGGGGGGCATAGTTTCTAAAATGGACATGTAAACAGTCTGAACATACTTGGATGTGATGTTGCCTTTATGAGGTCCAACAAGGCCATAAAAAGGCATTTACATGTTGGGTTCATTTAGTTTTTTTTAGCCCGTTCACCTTTCTTCATTCCTCGTCAAAGCCATTGAAATGCCACAGTCAATTTTCTGCATTTTCTTTCGAAAGGGCTTTTTTATTTTTCTCAGAACAAATTGGCCTTGGACTTGAGACCTGACAGACTGTGTGCAGGCAAAAACACTGTTTTTTTTTTTAGAGTTGATTACTGTAATAACTGGCTTTCCAAGACGGAATGACAAATATATTATAGCTGAATACAGTGCATTTATTTTTCACATAACCAAAACTATTATGGGAACACCCATCATTTATGTTGGAATAAGAGAGGTCATTTACAATGTAGAAAAATGCCTATACTTCTTAATTAATCATTATTCTATTTTCTTTATGAAAAACAACCAAGCTAAAGACCAAGAGAGAGAGCTTTATTCCTCTATTTTGAAATAAGAAAATAGTTATAATAAAGAAAGAAATACTGTGCTCGTATTGGCTGCACTGTGCTGCATGCTATTTTTGTGTGTTTTCTCCATTCACATTTCCCTCACTTCCTCGCATACTAAAGCCTTTAGGTAATGGAAACAAGCACCTGCTGCTGGCCTGCTCCGCCACATATCTGCAACTACGACGCCCCCGGCTCCCGTAACCGCCCCAGGGAGACTAAAAGCTTTGGCTTACAAATCGTAAGAGGCGCTTTGCACGCAGAGCCCAAAATAAAATATTCGTTCACTGGATTTGGAAGCATGGGAAAGGCGGGGAGGAGGTGGTGGTGATGGTGGCAGGGCAGCCGTGTCTCATTGTTTCGACAGAGTTCCTTTGGTTTTTCCTTCGGTCTCGCTGTCACAGCGAGATGAAAGCAGTGATGATGAGGTCATGACAAACATGCAGACCTTCTTCCATCAGGAAGCCATATCCTTCACACACATATGAAGGTTAGCATAATATGGGGTTCTGATATATTGAATGTCTGGAAAAAAAAATGCTGGATATCAGCCAATGAGTGAGACCGCAGTCACACATCAGAAACACATTACAGCTAGCTGTGTGGCTCTAGGGAAGGCCGATATCACAACAAGTACCGCGTGAACTGCCATGAAAATTGGTAGATATGTATGGTCCCCAGAGGATGATCCCTACTGACTTTGGTGATTCCCTGACTTTTCCTCTAGCGCCACAATGAGGCTGACATTTTTGGTTCTGACTTAAATGTCTCGACAACTATTGGATGGATTGCATCAGCAAGTTGGCTCTTGAAATTTTGATATTCGACATTTTATATAACATATATTGTATAAACATAAAAAAATACAATATTCTAAATACAATCTACACAATAAAACATACAATATATGGTGTATGTTTCTTATGAGAATCAACCTCCAAAATGGATACACAAACATACACAAGCATGAAAAATGTACGCGGCAAACAAACACATACAAAGACATGCAATTCCACTAACCAAACACACACAAACATATCCGCCTGCCCCTCTCTCGGGATCCCATCCCCGTAACAACTAATGCACAGTTTGCTGTGAGGCCCCGGTGCAGGTTGAGTCACGCAACGGGAGGCGGCCCATCGCTACGGTCAATCTATCCTTTTGTTGAGACAACCCAACACGTTAACAGAAGCATCAGTGGATCAGCTCGCCCCTGTGCGTGTGCGCACGCAGTTGTTGGCCGACGATCAGTGTGGTTTGTTGTTCGACAGACAGCCATTAAGGTATTGAGTGCGTAGCAATGATCTGATGCTAAATGAAATTCCCACGTAGCGTGCTGCTGCATGTGTCTGACTACGACATCCCGTCTGCTCGGATGCCTTCAAGAGAAATATTCGCCTCTCTAGGAATCTAGCGACATATTTTCAACTTTTATGTAACATATATTAAGAACATGCATCGTGTGCGTTATTGGTCATAGCCAAGTTCGACTGGGTGTCCTGGTATCATCTAAAAGACATGACGTGTCATACCCTGAACTATATGCACGTATGATAATCTTATTCTGTCTGATTAAAGGTCTGAGGTCAACTGACAAAAAACAAATCTTCGATTTGCTCTGATTAATGTTGTCAGGCTTGGTGTGTTCTTCTCACTCTCTTCTGCTCACTTTCACACACGACTACATGCATCCAGACAGAGATGCACTCACTCACTCACTCACACTCTCTCTCTCACACACGCACGCACGCACGCACGCACTTGACTGGCTGCTAAAGCTGCCAGCATGTGCGAGTCCCCACCTCCTCCATCAGCTCTGACACTCCCGCCTCACCCGTATGTCACGCAACACCACAGCTCTGCAAAGGAGGTCAGGGCAAAGGGCACACACGCATGCACACACAAAAGACCCCCCCCTCCCCAACTCACACTCACTCAGTCGCACTCAGGCTACATCCATCAGACACGAATGCTCTCCTGACTGATGCGAATGCAAGCTAGCGAGTATTTAAACGCGACAACAACCAAAAAGGCAACGGTTTGATGGCAGCATGGTGAAAAGTGATATCATTGAAATATACTTAGGACGGCATACGTACGTACACATAATACTTTCTGTTCACAAAGTTATTCCACACATACAGACAACAGCCATGTGGTTTCTTACTTCCAGGAGGAGGCTGCTTTCATTGACTGTGGTGGCCAGTGGAAGGCTCTCTTTCCTGGGTTCAGGGTTTGAGGATGCTGTGCTGATACTCTGCTTCCTGGAGGGCTTCTCATGGTTTGCTGTAAAAAAGAAAAAGAAAAGGGTCAATTGGCTGGAACGAGGGGCATATTTATGTTAAAACAACAAAAACTAAAAGCACTGAGCAAACTCTGTGGTTACAAGTGCAGGTGGAGATGAAAAGAGCAGCCACAAACACAAACCCAGTCCTTAATTTCATTAACCTTATACATGCAGGGACATGTGCTCATATCTGCTGCGTTCAAGGTCTGGAAAATGAAATCAAGCACACGTCTAGCTCTTGACTTTCCATGTCAACACAGGAAAAGTTGAGGACGATAACAACAATAATTGCATTTTCTAAAGCTTCTAAATCCTCCAAAAAGCCTGTCTGATGCTGCAGTGATAAGAGTTGGACCGGCATGCAGACATGTGGCCGACACATTAATGGCATCAGTCTCCTCTTGCACTGCGTGATCTCCAGGTATTAGTCTGTGCGGCGGGGCTGTCTAACGAGGCAAAACAGGAGGATTTCATGACTTTACGGGATTCTTCTCACACGATACGGCCGCACGCACACGCAGAGGCTCACCGGCACACCAAGCGTGAGGTAGAGCGCAGCATGTAGTGCTTTAGGGACGACTTATTTGCACTGAAACAAGGCTCTGTGATGTTCTTTATTCTTTACAAAGCTCACCACTCTCCTGCTCCTGTTGTGCCATCTGATATTCAAAAGAGTAGGAACATCTACTTAAGTTATACAAATATCACAAGCGAGTCACGCTCCATCAACCGCTGCTATACACATGCTGCGATCTCTCCGCTGTAGAGTAAAGGCCTACCACCATGCCAGAGTGTCTACACATGCAATTAGCCTCCACGGACGTGGCGTGCAGAAATGTCACGTGTGCATCGGTGACGTGTGCGTTGCGTGTCGGAGGCATGTTTGCGTGTTTCTCTTATGGGCGTGCTGTCAGTGGGCATGTGGCTCACTCCAAGAGATTAGCCCTTCGCCCTGTCACTCATTGTAGCTGGCACAGATTAGTCACGCAACACATACACACACACCATAGCCTCATTACGAAAAACGATCTAAGTATGTATGTATGTGTCTTCCGATGCTCCGTACAGTCCCCACCCCCACCGAATAACCCCATTACAGTACCATTCCTCCCCTTTAACCTTCTACTGTATCCTGTCCTCTGTCCATTCCTCCCCCAATGAACCCCCGTCTTCCTCCTCCTCATCATCTCTCCACCCTTTCTTTGTTCAACTCGGCATCGCAGGCGATCGACAACCGATTTCGTGATGCTGAAAGAGTTCCCCATCTCTTAATTCCACTCTGAAGCACGCAAAGCTAATGCGCCCGTTTTTTTCTTTCTATCTATACATTTTTAATGGATTAACTACTTTTGCGTTTAATCATTCCCCGGTTGCAATATCAGGTTAATGAGTGTAAATAAACTCATCAATGTGAATACTGGAAATCAGTTAAGCGCTGATGACTGCATTGACAGTCGCTCAGTAAACTCATAAATGCCAGTAATAATGTTATTATTACTGTATTTTGTATTTTGTATAATTGTATTTTGTCATCACCTCCTTCAGGTGCAAACACACACAAACAGACTCAGACAGCCACACACACACACACACACACACACCATTCTCTTCAATAACCGCAATATCATCCCACCAGTGGAAACTAGCAGAGGGAAATGGATCTAATAAGCCTCTTTATTTTCCTCCTTCAACGCCTCGTGCATTTTTGTTTTCTCTCTTACGGCAGCTTTTGGAGAGGATGCAGCGTCAGGAAAGACAAACACACGGGATGATTAATTAACGGCACAGGCACTTCCTCTGCCGACAATACGGGCTTTATTCATCACCGCTCGCGTCTTCGGGTTTGCTTTTCTTTGCCTCCATTTTCTCCCTGGTCTATAAAGGAAAACAGAGTGGGTAATGGCGAGGCGTTTATGTGCTCTGTGTGAGGACGGGGTGTCAAGTAAAAAGTGACAAGTTGCGGGATGTCGATGCTGCCAAGGGGTGAGGCTGAGAGTCTCTCGCTCCCTTAGTCGGCCCCGGTCTGTCTTTTCCACCTCCACTCAGTACACAAAACGTTAAGACCACCCGCCAGATATCAAGATACATTGTGATTCAATTGGCACAATTCGAGTCACAATTGTCTCGGGACTTCAATTGGCTCAGAGGACACCTTCGATGATTTGTTGAAATTAAAGAATAATCCGATATTACGAATAGGGACTGTGATGGAAAGAGATGCTGGAAGGGAGAACATTCTACACACATTCTACAAATGAGATGTAGAATGTGATGCGGTTGAGATGGGATTGCTGCGTAGTGTGTGTATGTGTGAGTTTAGGACAGAGTCCACATCAATCAGGTGTTTCTGCACCCTCTAGGGGGCGAGGTGAGTCTGGCCGTGGGGCATATGGACGTGTAGCAGCAAAGTCTCGGTTTGTTCTTCTGTATTCTCCTTTACAGCCACTTCCTCCCACACTACCAATAACAGCCGGGAAAAAAAAGAAATACGAAGAGGAACCAGAGGAGAGAAAGAAGAACACCTCTATAAGGAGGGAGAGCTGTGCAGAAGGGGGGGGGGGGGTCTCTGTGGACCCATAGTGTCACCGACATGCTTTTATTCTGGGGATAATGGAGGTCAAACACAAAGGAATGTCTCGCAAAAAGACGACAGATGCAAAGATGAATATTTCAATGCAGTCCTGTGCATTAGGTTCAAAGATGGCATGGCCATGACATTATGTTGGAGAGTGTCGCACGACTCAAAGCTCTTCAGAAATCGTGAGTACAAGAGCGGCATGCGGTTTAAACTGAATGGTAGGTGATACCCCGGCTCCATTCTCCTGCTCACGTTGCTATCCAGAGCAATATGCAGCGAGGAGCAGGTAAGTGTTCATACATGGCTGCTCATAGACAACACCAGCTGCTGCACGGTTTTAACCTGGGACCTATACCAACCTGCATGCACACTGCTCCAAACCCAGTCCAACAGGTGGCTACTGCTGCTTTTTTGGGTGTTCTTTAGACATTTGATCACTTTATACTCAGTTTAATGCCAGTTGCCAGTTCAGTTAATATGTAATAAGTAGTGGAGGACCGCCCTCAACATTTATTTGTCAGCTATAGTTACTGTGATATATCATATATAACATATGACGATCTTTAAAAAATCGTATGCACTGTTGTAGAAGAAACTACCCAACAGTATGTCAAATAGTTTAAATTAACGGTAGAATGCTCATTAAACATTAATGCATTCGTCATAATAATCCAATACTATAATATTTTAATACTTTTTTTACTTAAGTCACAATTAGAATTGTAGAATGCTCATTAAACATTAATGCATTCGTCATAATAATCCAATACTATAATATTTTAATACTTTTTTTACTTAAGTCACAATTTTGATGCAGTAATTTTACTTCTTGAAGTATTTATATATTGCAATATTGCTACTTTTACTCAAGCAAGGGATCTGATATTTTCCCCACCCCTGGTAAGAAGTAATCTTATCCGAAATTATTTGTTTTTTCTCTGTCAGAGGGTTGGTGTTTTGCTAACATATGAGTGAAGCCCAATCACATCCATACTACCTACATCTGCATGCAGGCTCTCTGTCTCCCTGGTTTGCAGCAGCATGGGTGCCATCTCTTGGCAGCCGATCCTCTGCTGTGGTTTTTGGCTTGTAAAAAAAGAGCTCCGGACCTGAACATGTGAAACACTGTGCTGCACAGCAGTCCCTCCCCTTCCACAAGGCTTGCGTGAGTAGAGAGAACTGTGTGTGTGTGTGTGTGTGTGTGTGTGTGTGTGTGCATGTGTGTGTGTTGAGGTCGGGTTGGCTTACAGCCACTTCCTTTGCCTATTCCCGCCCCCTTCCCTCAGCGCTCTTCTTCTCTCTCTCTCTCTCTCTCTCTCTCTCTCTCTCTCTCTCTCTCCGCAGGCACAGGAAATCCACAGCAGAGAGACACACACACACACACACACACACACACACACACACAGAGAGAGAGAGAGAGAAGTTGGCCGATCAAGGGCTTGGTTGTCACGCGAGCGAGCCGTCTGTCAATCTCCCCCCCTCCTCCTGACAGTGGGCTGGCAGCCGGCCAAGGCCTTGCGTGCAAGCCGGCGAGCCACATTAGCCCATAAAGAATTTCATAATAGCAACAGCTGTTAAATATTGATGACTGCTGGCAAGCGCTCAATGGTGCTCCGCAAAAAGGTTAAGCCTGCACTGTAATGGAAGCTAATACTTCAATATGCCACAGATCAAATGTCCGGATCTCGGCCTGTCCAAATCCAACCCTTACCATTTTAACTTTTTTTTCCTTTTTCTTTTGCAGTGTGGCAAAGAGAAGAAAAAAAAGACTCACTGACAGAAAGTTTTTGGCGCTTTTCATATTTTTCTGAAGATAAACAGCAGCTTTTTCTACGTTGTTCCTACCGTTCCACTTGATGGATATAAACAGTATGCATTCAAATTTCAATCACCCTTGATACCAGTATTAATATTGGATTGAGGTCTCTAATCTTCCCCGATATTGTTTTGGATGACAATGTATTCCACTGTGACATAAGATTACAGTTGGAGGGAGGGACTGCCAGGATTTAAAGCCTTTTTTTCTTCACTAAACCACATTTACAAAAAGGACTGTTCTTGTCGTCCCGGCATGAATCACGAATGTGCATCTTTCAGAGGAGATCCTAACGTGAGTGAGGGATTTTTGAGAGTAGTGTGCACATGGATTCGCTACAGGAAGTCTCTCTGAGGAAGGGGAAAAAAATACAAAATGTGATTCCTGAATAGAACATAAACAATAGCCTAGACGCTGAAATGAAGGGGAAGTGATATTATGACCGAGCAAACGGGATCACACAGATTGGAGGTCGGGATGCAAAACTCAATTGTTTCCACTTCTCTGTTTTGTTTGGCAAACAGACACACGACTGTTGTACAGGAGTGATCTGTCTCCACGCATGAGCCCCCGGGCAAAACAGACTCGTATGGCAACTGTGTGTACTGCTACTGTATGTGGCTTGTATACACGGGCGCATCATAAAAACTGGCGCCACACACACTCCACACACACACTGCTTCTATAAATAGAGAACATGACTGATTGTGGCGCACATGTTTTATGTGAGCGTGGTGTTTGTCAGCGGAGAAAAATGTTTTTTTCCTGATGAACCCATTGAAAGAGCGACACACAAGTGCGCAGCCAGCTAAAGGGCTGTCTAAACACTCCTAAATTTGCCTTGTCAAGCTTTGGAAAAAAATGCACCACAACATAAGGCCAACGTGGTACAATATTTATACAGACAATTAGAAAAACTAACAGGATGCAAATGGATGAAGGCCCGGGGAGAATGTGCCTCAGCGTGAAATGATGTGCTCTCCGCTTACACACACACACACACACAGGCTGCATTCAGGCATGTGTTGCGTGAGATGAGCCAGTTACGCAGGAAAGCTTTTAATTTGACTGTACCCAAATGAATGCAACAGTGTATTTTTTAATTGAAGACAACAAGGCGCTACAGTTTGCCTGCCGCTGCCAGGGATCTGGCGCATTCCACCAGCACAAGCGTCGGCCCCGGCCTTCAGTCTGCTCAGCGGGGGTGAACTCAGGATACGGACTCCCTCGTGAGTCACACACATATCCGAGCAGTAACCCGGCCCGGGCACCGAATGACAACACACGTGCACAATCACATGTAAAGTTCACGGTTGCAAAAAAGACAAACACAAGGGAGTCAAGGGGGGGGGGGGGGGGACTCCATTGTCAGGCCTATTCTCCACTCTCCTATGCATCTATATTTATCACAAACTTCCTCTGATTAGTTCATTCAAATAGAGGAATTAATTTCCTTTTGGGGGACCTCGGTGTCCAGGAATGTTTTGACTTTTGTGGGAAAAATATTGACGCACTTTCTACCAAGCTAAAGCCCAGACTTTTATTTTCTTCTTCTGGTTAGCCAACTGTAAAATTGATAGAACAAACTGATACATTTCTCAAGCACAAAGGTGACAAAATAATGGAATCTTTGTGCCATGTGTGCACATCTGAGATACACACTTCATCACTGTAAGGGACATCAGCTCCCGCATGCATGTGTATGTTGGCGTGGTTACTCTATAAATAGCTTTTCCCTTGGATTCCTGTTTTGATGAAGATGGCTGTTGCCCTCTCAAGGAGCTGGCGGTTAATACAATTTGCATTTAGGAACCCCACCTGGCCACAATAAAGCACAAGCCTTCTATTTATGTGCTCTTACACAATCTCCATTTTCACGAGCGGTCTGAGATTCAATAGATGGAAATGAACGCGCAGCGCGTCTTTCCTCAAACTGTAAAGTTTATGTGGACATTCGCTGCTTGCTGTAAAGCCCATCTCCCCGATTTTGAGTTTAATTAAGAGATGCATTTGAAAGGAAAACCTCTCGTGCTTCATGGAAACAGATGTGCCATGAGAGGTGAATTTAAAGTGCTTTGGAATTAGTTAAATATGATTGGAATTGCAGAGTGAGAAAGAGGGATGAATAGGGAGAGGAGGAGTGAAAGAGCAAAAAGGCAGCAAATATTTTTTGGGTTCCTCATAAGTTGAGTTATTTAGGTCCAAAAAGTCTACTTACAATGTATAGAATAAACTAAATAAAGTGTTTATTATGTAGCTCATTCATTTCACTCAGTTGTCCTACACTGAGTTTTTCATTAGAAAACGCACCAGTGCCTCTGCTAATTCATACGGAAAAAGGGAATTCTTAACAACAACTCAGGGAATAATTATTAGTTCTCTACCCCTGTCTTTCAGTCTGCATTCCTGCATGAGAGGGGAGGAGGGCAAAAGAAAGACGGAGAGCAGAGCGAAGGTTACAGTCTGCAGCTCTGCTGGTTCCTTGTGTTGCGTGCCAACTAGTGTCACTGGCATTATTCACAATAAGAGGGAGAAAGAAGCACAACAAGCCTTAGATTATCCCCCTCGTGTTCTCCTCCCCGCTGGCCAGTCGAAAGCAATCATCACTCGCTTTGCGGTCTTCAACAAGTTTTCTGAAGAACCACACCTTTCATTATTTTATTTTTGATCCTGTTAGCATTGTTTTTCTTTCTTTTGTTTTTAATCCATGCAGCCTCTCCGTAACAAGAAGGTAATCTGTTGAAAAGATTATGGCACTGTTTCGGCCCATTGAGGAAAATAATAACGGACAGATGGTCCCCCAGGCTGAATGCATACGGGGAGGGAAACTACACTAATGCTGCTAGCAGCACGCAATGCTAAACAAATGCTAACCACGGAGCACTTTTACGACATCAACAAGTTGTGCTCATTTGCTGGGCTTGAACTCAAGAGAGGCATCGTTTTAGTGGAGGAAACGTGAGTACAAAGTGGCTGACATAATGCACTAATGAGAAAAGTTGTACTGAGTTAAATAGACGGACGGAAAGTAAAAGAGTATAACACTTCTTTTATGGCACTTTGCTGAAACTCTGTGGGAGCAAAATGTCGCTGTCACTAGAAAAAAAACATTGGCTTTTAAGCTTCGTGACAATGCATTTGAACTAAAACAATGAGATTTTAAATGCTTCATTTAGTCTGAGAGAAAGGAGAAGTTTCTCAACCCATGAAGCGACATGTAATCCTTCCGTGAAACAAATCAAAACCACACAATTTGGCGATACGTGATTTTTCGTTCACTGGGAACAATAAGTTAAAAGATGTATTTACATAGACTACAAGTGTGAACAGTGTGCCGCTGGCAGAGCCCTCACCAAAACGCTACACACATACGCCAACACACAGGAAAGGCCCACCGATGTGTAATTAAATTGATGTGAGGTGGTTAATGTGTGCAGGG